CGGGGATGCTCCCCCGGCCCCGACGTGTGCCCCGACAGCCGGGGAGGGCAACGGCACCCGGGGCGGCCCGAAACACAGCCCGGCTCCCCAAGGGCTGCCCAGACCCGCCGTTCAGAGCCAGCCCCATCCCTCCCAAAAGGGAAGGCGAGCGAAGTGGGGGCGGCCCCGGAAGGCAAGGCTGCGAGGTCTCCCTGCCCTCAGCAGCCACCCTGTAGCCCAGGGACCCCTGACACCCCCCGTGGAGACAGCCCCACAGGTGTCTCCTCCCGCACCCCCACCACCCTTTGAGCACGCTTGCACGGACACCCAAAGCTGCTCTTCCTGCTTAGGCTTTGCTTGACTTGGAGCATTTAGCACAAAAATCACCCGGGCCTTGGGAATGCTGCAGGTTTTCTGGCCGCAGCACCCAGTCCCCACAGCTCGCACCCGGCCTGCGATGGTGTGCGGGCCCTGCTAAACCACAGTGACTGCAAACAACATTGGGTTCCGCAGGCTGGGAATGCCGTACCCATTTGCAACGAGGAGCACCGACGGCAGCCCCGCACTCCGGCGCTTTCCCTTGCAAGGGATCAGAGCGAGGGCAGTACTGATTGCTCGGGTCTGCAGGCTTGGGCTGGTTTTGTTTACACGATCTCAGATCGTTTCTAATTTATAGTAAGTGAGTTCGCCAAGGGTGATTAAAAATGGAAATAATAAGGTTTCATAAAGCCTCGTTTCAAATCAAAGCTTAATTCAGGAAAAAATATGTTTTTCCTCCTGATTTCCTGTGGGCTGGAAACAAACAAGCAAACAGTTCTGGTGAAAAAAAAGAGCAAACTTCTGTCGGAAATGTCTCATCCTCCGCCACAGAAAATGGTTATTATCTCTAGTCTAAACAGAGTCTGTTCAGATTTGGGTCCTTGCTTCCACGCAGCCCAGCTGGCTGGATCTGCGGAAAGAGGTGGACATGGCTACTGGGAATTTACAGAGCAGGCAAATTGTCTTCTGATCTTGCTGAGATCGACCTGAAGGGATGTCAATGACTCCAAAATAATGAGAAGCAGTGAAAAAAGGAGAGAGAAAAATACAAACCACAAACTTGTCCATTTTACAAAGACCTGGTGAATAGCCTGGCCATTCAGGGTAAGAGCAAACGTGCTGGTAGGTCCCCTTCCACTGAAGAGGAGGTTGGGGACAGAGGCCAGTGGGACCAGCACTGGCAGCTGGAAGGGACATCTCCTGCAAGTGGCAACAGCTACAGCCTCTGGCAATCCTCAGGACTTGGCAAAATGGGCTTGAAATGGGGACCATAAGTCATTGGTGGGGCTCAGTGCCATGGAAGGCGACTGAGGCCAAGAGCTTACAGATTTATTGTTTAAAGGGATGAGATGAACACAGATAATAAATGGCAAGAATATGTGAAGCTGTAAGAAATAGACTACTTTTAAGCCCTTCCACAAGTGGTATTAGACATTCAGGACATTTACTTTCCAGGTATGAAACAAATTTAAGTAAGAGAGAAGCTGGCCTACAGGGAGATTACATCCATCAGTGTGGCCTGCTAGAAAGGACCTTGAAAGCTCCTGTGAAGGAGCTGGCGCTGGCCTCATCGCATGGCAATGGCCCGCCTGGGGCAGCACTGCGACCACTCCAGCATGGCAGCCCCGTGCCTTCCCCGTGGGAACACTGCAGGTCCCATCTCTTTCCTACACCACAAACAGCAAGTCAGACATCCGGGAAGCTCAGTCTGGAAACTAGACATATAGGGATCCTGCAATTTACAGAAGTCATCATGGCTAAGGCTAGCTAGCTTCCCATAAAACATCTCTATAAGGAGATACATTCAGTAGCTGATTAATGAATGTGGTTTACCACAAAATGATACTACACAGGCCTACTCTTTTCAATAATAATCCCATATTACTAAAAATCCAAGAAATATCCAAATTGCACTGAAGCTGCGTTGCGATCCCAGTGCTTTGCCTGTTGTCTTCCCCTTTGTGGTAAATCAACACAAACATAATTCTTTAAGGGAGTTCCTAGGTGAAGACAGGAGCGAAGGGAAAGGGACATGCCTACGCTGCACAGAGCCAGGCCTACGCTTTTAGCCTTGGAAAAAAGTGCCAGGTGACAGCGTTTCAAACGCACTTGGATGCTCCCACCGGGGGAAAACCCCCTTTGGCGGTCGGAGGCCATCCAGGGTCCGCTGCAGCCCCTGCTCCTCGCAGGGGAGAGCCAGGGGCTGGGGCGGGGGGGCAGGAGGAGGACCCCGCAGGGCAGCCCCCGGCGGCTGGGCGCTGCCGAGCCGGGGCGGGGAAAGCCGGCAGCCCCCAGCCGCTGCCTGCGGCTGCCAGCATCGCGGGGAGGGGGCGGAGGTGCCAGACACCCCCCGGGGGCCGAGGGAGCAGCCAGCCTGGCCCCCTGCGTGGGGAACCGGACCGGCCACCTCACGCGTCCGCTGGCAGCGAAAGCACCAAACGTGTGCAAGGGGGGGGGGGGGGGGGGTAGGGGGGGC